GAGAGAGAGAGAGAGAGAGAGAGAGAGAGAGAGAGAGAGAGAGAAAGAGAGAGAAAGAGAGCTTACGAAGACGAAATAAAATCGACAGTTGCCGACGGCACGAAGAGATTTCGCGTCTCTCGAAAGACTTGCTCGCGTGTTCGTTGTGTTTATTATAAAGCAGAGCGATGACCACACCGTGTATATATATGTATGCGGGGACGATATATTGCCCCCTCCACCACAGAAGCGAGACGCACCCCTCTTTTTGTCGCCTCCACCCGTCGGCAGATAACGCACATTTACATGATTCAACGATTTTTAGAGGTGCCACTTGGCGACCACCCCTATAGTCGTTCTGAAAGTGGTCGGTACGCAATTGCTCCCTCCAAGGGACGCAGAAAGGCTCGCTGCCGAGAAATATATTTGTGAAAATATAATGAATGATAACATACGATCGGTGTTTTGTACAGTTCATTGATGAACATTTCTTTTGGTCCTGCAATCATAATCGACGGATAAACAATTGTGTCGTGTATCATGTGTGATCCCGAATAATTTGATTGGTTGGTGAAATTAATTATTAATCAATATACACAATGAATCACATGACAAAGTTCGACTGATAATTACTTCCATCAATCGATGCAATTATCTGTGACTTTATGACGACTGATTACTGATTGATCTCGATCACTTTGACTCGCCGATTGTATATTTGTTAGGAAAATCTCAATCATTATTCTGTCATCATTAATCTGCCATCATTATTCTGCCATCATTATTCTGCCATCATTATTCTGCCATCATTCTACCATTATTGCCCATTAACGCAGTACGCAACATGCATGATATCTCTAAAATAATTGCAAAAATGCATTTAGTCTTTTTTTTCGGCGTAACTCAACGAGAAGAGATAACAGATGAATCTTCTTTCGTAATGTTTATTTTTTTTATATTCACACTTATACAAATACTTTACATGAATAACTTATACTTATTACTGATTTACTACGTACGGGGTCGGGGTTAGTTAATTATCGAGATAAATTGGCAAAATCGATTGTTTCTATTGTTCTTTAGTGGACTTCAGGATCAAACAAGCAAGGATTTCAAAGCCATTTTTGACACATGCTTGCTTGATTCTATCTTATCTATATTTATCTATACTTATTAGAAAATAGCAAAAATAATCGATCTTGCCAACTCATCGTAGCCTAGTCCCGTCTCTCCTACTGATTTACAGATACACAATGTGAAATGCGTAATATCACGCGTTCATAGGAGTGAGAAGCGCGTGCTAGTGGTGATTCGTCAAAAAGCGCGCAAAAGCCGCGCGAAGGAGAGAGATCTGCGTCAAAAGCGCGGACGAGCCGCCGTTTATAACACGACCATTTTTCCAGTTCATTCCGGATGATTCTTATGATTTTCATAAGCTAAGCGCGATAAGCTAAGAGAATTTTGTAGCGTAATATAGCGAAATTTTGCGTTGACGCTGAATTTGTCGACACTGATCCATGACTCATCTCGTCGCCGCCGAAGCAACGCGATGCGAGAAAAAAGTCGTATGTAATCGCGCTCATCCATACCCTTTTTCTCTTCCGCGCCTCGCCACAAGCTTCTCCTCACTTTGTCGCGATGAATAATGCATCTTCGCGATATATCATTCTTGACTGACGCGTTCGTGCCATTCGTTGCGTAGAACCACCCTATGTTCTACGCAATGATACACGATCGCTGATACGTTCTCCCGCGTTTCCTGCCGTGCAAAACTCTCCTGCGGAGTGATCGCGAATTTTCCAGCCGAATTCGCCACGCCATCCCTACGTCACTCGCAAGATTTATCCCCGTCGTCTCTTCTCTTTCACGCGAACGGCCGAGTGAATTAAAGCACGAATCTTCGTTCTCGCCTCGCGGAAGCTTTCGCCGAGAAATATATAAATTTTCATCAAGGGATGCTTACCTTGGACTCTCTGTAAGATGGATAAAAGTGTCTATCTAAGTGTGACTTGTAAGCCTTCTGAGATTGGACACCCAAAAAAAGAATTTTGGTTTTAAGATGTTGTTTCCTTTAATCGCATATTCTAAGCGAAATCTTTCACCGAAAGAATATTCCTCTTGTATCTCTGCGTATTTGTATTAATAGTTGCTACTTGAAACTTGCTTCAGGTAAGACACTCAGATTTTAATTTAGACCTGAGTTTCTCAGCTGAATCGCGATTGCACAAATATAACATCACATATATTATATAATTCAAATAAAAAATTTTTATCTAACTTTAAATTCAGATTTGACTATTTCACGCAGAACAAGTTTCAAGTAACGCCTATTAATACGAACCTGAGGGCCGACTGTTCCAACTTCTTGATAAACTACCTGATAATCAAATCATATGTTTGTCTTCATTTTTTCTTCAAATTGGACAGAAACAGACACAAGAGGAACAATCGGTCCAGAATGTTTTACCTGAAGCAAGTTTCAAGTAACGACTATTAATACGGATCTTAGAGGCGTTTCTGTCGACAAAAGAAAGTTCAGTATAAGTACCCGAGGACATAGATCTTCTTGTCTCGCACGTGTAACACAACCCGCGTGAAAAAAAAGAAGGGAACATTATTCGGCGGCCCGCAATACCGTCCTAAGTATGTTAACGACTAAGTATGTTAACGAAACTAACGTACTAAATATAGTAAAGCTATCTTTGTGTACAAAGATACACGTACGTAGATAAGAGTGTTTCCGTTGCATCTTTACGCATTATCACCTCCTTATCCGAATGGCAATTATGAAATTCCACTGACATGCTGTGCAAAGTGGTCTTACGATTTTCGTGTTTCTCCAACGATCTCTTCTTTCGCGCGCTACTGAGGACTGCGTCACATTAGGAGAGCGCAAGCTGAACCTTACGCTCCTCATTTTTTGTCTCTGGTTTCCGGCTTCATTGGATTTTGCTCGCAGAATTTTATCGTTGCAAGACACAACCGACGCGCCGATAAAACGACGTAATTGGTCATTGATACGACAATTTCACGCTTTTCTGACATCTCGTAGGCGCAGTCTTAAATAATAAGGATGATAAATTATAATAAATAATAAATAATATTAATAATATAATATAATAATTAATGATAATATAATAATAATTAATAACTAATAATAAGGATAATAATAATAAGTGTAAGAGACTCCCCAAGACGGCGCGTTCGCGCAAGCGAAAGATCGTGTAAAAAGATACACGCGAATTTCGTAATCGCTCGGCGACGACCTCGGCGAGTTCAGTCGCGTTCAGGAGCGTGCGATAGCTCGATTGCCGACCAATTGGAGAAGTTCAAGTGCCGCGTGAATTTTACGTGATGTCACAAATGGTATTTTCCAATCGCGAGGCTCGATGCAGAACGCGCGACACATTACCGCAATGAGAAGCTCGCCAACGCAAACATTCCGGCGACTTCGTATCTACTGGGCGAGAAAGAAAGAAAGAAAGAGAAAGAAAGGGGGAGAGAGAGAGAGAGAGAGAGAGAGAGAGAGAGAGAGAATCGCATATTCTAAGCGAAATTTTTCACCGAAAGAATATTCCTCTTGTATCTCTGCGTATTTGTATTAATAGTTGCTACTTGAAACTTGCTTTAGGTAAGACACTCAGATTTTTATTTAGACCTGAGTTTCTCAGCTGAATCGCGATTGCACAAATATAACGTCACATATGTTATATAATTCAAATAAAAAATTCTCATCTAACTTTACATTCAGATTTGACTATTTCACGTAGAACAAGTTTCAAGTAACGCCTATTAATATGAGCCTGAGGGCCGATTGTTCCAACTTCTTGATAAACTATCTGATAATCAAATCATATGTTTGTCTTCGTTTTTCCTTCAAATTAGACAAAAACAGACACAAGAGGTTGGAACAACAATCGGTCCAGAGTGTTTTTTCCTCTATTGGTTCGTTCGGTATCGGAATGTTGACCAACGTTGCCGCGACATCCGTAGTATGCCGCTATGTGCTTCATTCATTCGCGATTATGATTACGATTCAATTATGACACACGCGGCCACGATATCGCGTATTTACTATTTCGCCGCTGCTCCAAACATCCCATCATCAGTTGGCGTGATATCGAGCTAGTCAGGAGGGGACTGGAAAATCATGAGCTTCTGCGCGCATTTATTATAATAATGCACGCTTCGCCGCGATTGTTCAATTGTTGCATGTGTGCGCCAATTGCGTCAAATCAACTTTCTCTCCCTGTTTGAAAGTGCCAACTTCTAGCTTCACTCGCTGCTATAGGAAAAATATGGGAATACTTGTCCTATGCGTACATGCCGTTGTATCCACCTACACGGCGTGAGTAGTATAAAGTACCATCAGTCCGACCATTCATGTACGGGAGTAGAGTCGTGCGCGAACATTCGCGTACGGAGGATTAAATAAAAGGATCACCGAGGATTTATAAAATCCGCGATGATTTAACGATGATCTATCGAGACACGGGCACGAGAAAGCTGACATTTATTATTGATATATTTTTAGGGGAAAAAGGATACTCTACGAGCGACCAAAAGACCATGAGTAAATCAACCGATTTTTACTCGAATAGTGTAACGTGAGTTAAACATGTAATCTTAACGGCGCCCTCTGCTTATACATTAGGTCAAACTGAACAAATAAATCCTCTACCATTTTGCAAATTATCACATAGATTTTTAGATAATTAATTAAAAAAGATTTGTGCATTATTACGCACAATTATATAACAATTTTCTCTCATTAATAACTAAAAATTTACGTGGCTATTTACAGAATGATTAAGGATTTTTTTGTTCAGTTTGACTTAATATAAAAGCACACATGAATGCATCGTCACTAGAACTCATCTACCATATCGCATGTGATCATTTACCAATCTTCCTTAAGGGGTTACATGCAGTCAGAAATTTTAAAATTTTCGCTTTTTCAAAAATTACATTTTTCTTGAAGTTCATTATCTTAAAAATATTCCCTTAAAATTTCAAGTTGATTCAAAGAAAATTCACGGATATATGAGCTCATAAACATGTGTGCGTCGAAGCACTTCGTTTCTCGTTTGGAAATGTGGTCTGGATATCTGCGTTCGAATGCAGTTGTCACTTTGAAATTGTCTTGATTCTTCGATCAAGTACACAAGAAACTCATACAAGAAAGAAATCTTTTTGATTTTTTCATTTCAGATAAATTGAAATATTGTGGTCACCCCGTAAACCCTGTATTTAAAAAAGACATCTAACAAATTGCACATAACTCAGCTTATTTTTTATATTTTATAAACAAAAATTATTAAAATTACATTAATATATATACTTTTAAAGACACCAATTACTGTAATAAAATACATATAGTTTAAAAAAAAAATCATAAAAATTGACTATTTTTCGGTCTCCTGACTGCATGTAACCCTTTAATCAACATCTCGAGATTTATTGCAAATATCGCAAGATGGTATGGAACTTTTATATTCACCTCAATCCGTTCTACATTCCCACGAATGTTGCGGAGATGAATTTAGGATACCTAAGTTCATCCTGAATCTTAGTAGGATTAGCATTTCAATTAAGAATTAAATCTTAATAAATTGAAACAAAAACTCGGTTACTTACCGTAATCGCAAATACCGCCGATTTTTTCCCCGGTGTACGCCCGAATCCATCTTTTTGAGTAATCGGTAATCCAGCTTTACTGCAAAATTCTGTTTTTCTTCCAACGGAAAAATTCGCATGAGAACATATAAAGCGCGAAGAGATACATTTTGACACAACGGAATCTCGTGCAGTCGCGCACGATGGAAGAATTCTGTATTTACCGACGAGATAGTATGATTCCGTTGGACTCTTACAGAGGGAGTTGTAGTTCAATTTTTCATTAATTGGATTATATAATTTAATTAAGGAGGATAGTCTATATAAGATACCCTATATAGTAAAATGTAATTAAATATTTTTCTGTGCGTTAAATAAGTTTCTCGTTTCTATGTATTATTACGTGATATTATTATTTGTACATTTACGTGTATGTTATTACGTATTTTACGTATATCAAAAATATACACTCATTTTTCAGAATATACAGATGTTAGAAACTTCAGGGGAGTTCAATTATAAATATTTTCCCTTAGCGTGAACTCGGGTGTGAAAAATCTAGAACTTGAAAATATACGAAAATGTGCACTTTTCACGAGTTTACATTGGAGGAAAAGATATTATAGTCGTTTGTATAATACTGCAAAATTATTTCATGACTTCATATATAAGGAGAAAAAAATTATATGATTGATAAGCAAGTCGCGCTTGTTTATATGAAAAGATTCGTAATTGATGCTCAGGTTAGAAGTAGGATTAACGTTTCAACTAGGATTATTGCGGCTTTTATTTCTCTAGCATTCCCGTCGATCGATCAAGCCCAAATTCCGCGGTAGAGATCACACGTCGGCGCAAATCCGAGGATTGAAGTGGTCGTGAGAGTGGATCACCTTTATAATCGCGCGTAATCGGTGTACACATCGATGTACACTCGAGTGTCATGAGATCGCGCGGGGTGGAGGAATGGCGGGCGGGGAGCATACGACAAAAGACAAGAAGGAGAGATTGCACGAATAATCGTTTACCACTTTTTTTTATTACATTCGTAATCGCATATACATCAGTTTGTCCAGATTGTAATTCGACGATCCGGCACACACGATCGGTGTGTATGCAACAATTCCTACATCCTACATTATTAGATTCGCAAACACGAATGTCGGCGCTTCGTTACACACAGCGAGCGCGCGAGATAGAGAGAGAAAGAGAATCTCTCGACGGTGATTGATCCGCGGCTCGATCCACGAGATCACAATCGCGTGTGCTCGTGGAATAAATAAATTAAATACATAATAAATAGATAAATAAATAAATAAATATACGAATAAATAAATAAATAAATAAACAGTATAGGCACTAAAGACGCGATGCTAAGTAGTAAATAGTACTGAGGAACGTAGGCTCGCGCTCGGAACCTAATTAATACTAACGGCACCGATTTACGGTAATCAAATACTCTAACGCTCTCCGAAGTAATCTCTACGCGTCGCACTTATGTCTTAGGCGAATAAATAAATACAATTCGCTACTGTGGAACTCGAGTCGAACAATCGGCAGTAATTACGCGAGAATGATCCAACCCACGCATAAAATGCGTTTTAAGAAAAATGAAGATGGAAATTTGACTTATAAAAAATAAATAACACTGAAGTTCTTGGCCAACTTTCTCCTCTTTAACGATATATATTATAAAGTAAGCTATAAGTTTAACCCTTAAAAAGACGGGTAAAAAATACACAACTAGTAAAAAATGGCTTAACTGGTAGAAAATAAAAATTGTTTTTTAATTGATTTTAAGCATCCATAAGGCTTGTATGTTTTTTGTTTTATGTAGAAAGGACTACATAAAACTACATATATTAGTAAAATAAAGAAATCAAAAACATAATTTTGTGAGATGGATCATTCTTGCTTAACGAAAAAAGTCCCGCGTTAAGTCTCAAGTCTGATCTACCATGTGTTCTTTGCTTCCTGTTTTTTGTTCTCTACCTTATTCTGGCTTCAAGCTTAAAGCTTGATCAACAATGTGTTCTTTGCTTTCTGTTTCTTCCTCTTTTCCTGGCTTAAACCTTAAGTCTTGATTTATAGTATGTTTTTTGCTCCTGTTTCTTATTCTCTGTCTTTTTCTGGCTTAATTGTAGATTAAGTTTTAAGCCAGAAAAAGACACAGAACAAGAAACGGGGAGCAAAGAGCACATTGAATCTAAGTCTGATCTGTGCAATGCGCTTGTTGCTTTTCGTTCTTTATCTTGTTCTGGATTAAGGATCGAGTAAAAAAGAGATAAAAAGAAAGAAGGGAACAAAAAGCGTGTAGCAGAGATGTGAGCTAAAAGTTTCAATCAGAAGGAGAAATAAGAGCACTAAGAGAAGTTTAAGAGTAAAGAGAAGGAAACAGTAAAGAATAAAGAACACAGTATAAATCAGGCTTCAAGTCGACGCGCCGTTTCTTGGTAAGAACGGTTGCGCGTTCGCGGTGAATCCCACCGACCGACGGGCAATTTTCGCTCATGACATCCGACGTAAATCCCCGTCTCTCTCTCGCATTAACAATGCGGGTAATACACGCTAAACAAGAACTATAATCACATACACGGCCGTGCTCGGAATGCAACGCGCAGGAGCGCTTTGAAATCTTGGTCCTTTACACCTAAGAGATGCGCAATGAAACTTCGCGTTCCGCTAACAGAGACGCATTACTGGCGGGTGACGCAAAACTGTCGCCCACAAAGAAGCGGCACAAAACAGGCGGCGGGGAGCTCGAAGAAACTTCCACGAGATTACGCCGAAGAAAATCGTTTATCATCTCATCGTATAAACCCAAGTACCCAGATAGCCAAGCCTGTGCAAATAGATTTTGAGGGAAGCTTGCTACAAACTTTTGATGGCAGAAAGGCAGCAAATCCAACATAGGATTTATTATATTTGATTATATTATCAAACTGACGCCAGAAATGTGACAGAGGTTGCTGACAGACAATCCGAACAGATTGGTGGCAGAAATCGAGCAGAGCCTGTTGCGAGACAGGATTTGCTACCAAACGCGGTTTCTGCTACGTCAATCTGCTCGCATTGCCTGCCAGCAGACTCTGATGACAGAATAAAAATAGGATGTGGCCACAGACGATTATGGTTTGGGATTCTGATCAAATTTGCTGCCAATCTGCGCGCATTCTGCTATGAATTTGCTTACTGGGTATAAATTCGCGAATAAATCTTTCCTCAAGCATAAAGAATGACGTTACTTTCGCACGTTTTTTTTCCTTTCGGGCGCAGACGCCATTTGTAAGCCGTGCTGCTTGGCGATTTATTTCATTAGAAGGACAGATTGAGTAATGGTGAACATGTCTCGATGTTGCATCGCAATGAGACTCTCCGCTCGCCCCGTTCGTCCGCCGTTCGATCGTTCGCGCTAAGAGATTAGTCGGAAAAATTAGTCGCGGAAGTCAGACTTCGGGTTAATCAGCGGCGAGTAAGTAAGTGTTGTCGCGACGCGCTCAGAAATGTCGTCCCGTGAGAGAGGAACGCGTCTCTCGGAGGAACGACGGCTGAGACGTCGCGCATTTGCGTTTCTCGCGAGATCGCGAGCCGATTATGATCGATTGCACTATCAGAGAAAAAAGGTGGTGAAAGAGAAAACATGGTAATGGCGATTGCACGCAGGATATCTGACAATTCTTGACTCACCTGTTGCGTGCAGATACAACTCTAAGTCTAAGTGAGCAGAGGATTCCTCCACTATCTGGCGGACATAACCACATAAAATTTTGAGTTATTAATCGAGGAAGTTGGTCGGTAAATGATCGCGCGCGATCATATGACTGATGAGCTGCGACGGCGAAGTCTGCCGTCGTGTGTTTGAGCATTAGATCAAACTGAAAAGTCCTCTACCGTTTTGCAAATGGCCACGTAGCTTTTTGGTTAACGATTAAAGAAGACATCCTCTCGCGGCACGCAGCTGCCATCACCATGTTTTTCTTTGCGTGCGAAAATGGGCGTCGCGATCGCGCGAACGGTATTTGCAGAGATTGCAGCTATTCTAAGAGAAACACCTAACGCCGCCGCGGGAACAACGCTATCCACGAATACTAGGGACGACTCACGGTTTCGAAATACTGTTCTCGTTTAAGCAGTCGATTATGCTCGCGATGACGAACTCAGAAGTCTGATCGATACGATCCAGCAGGAAACGCGTCGTTCTGTACACGACGACTCGCCGATGCACTCCCGCTCCTTCCCGCTGGTCAGCTCTTCGCTTTTTCGCAAAACGCGCGCAAAGTTCATTTTCTATTCGGAGTTAATTACTTATTTCCTTAAAGTCGTAAGTTCGTAAAGTAGTTGAAGCTCGGACGGAGGCTGGTCCGAAGGTAGCGCGTTGTCGACTGATCACCGGTGAGAGATCAATTAAATGTGTGCGTGCGTATGTGTGTGTATGTGTGTATGTTTATGTGTTTTATATGCGTACGTGTGTCTTCTCTAATTGTTTACTTCCTGTTTCTTCTGCCGTTTTCTCCCCCTCCGTCTTTCCCTCTTCGTCCTCCCTACATTCCACTTTCCTGACTTTCGCCTCATTCTCGAGCGACGTCGAGCTTCTGAATTAAATCAACTGATAGTCCCTCTGCGCCTCCTGCAGATCCTCCTTCTGCAATTAGAACAAGGGGAATCGGATTAGCACGCCGATCTGCTAGTGACGGATTCACAATCGCGAAAACAAAGCTCCGCGTGAGACGCGTTTCGCGATCGCGTCATTCAGGTTCGCGCGTACGCTGCGCGAGATGTGTCTCCTGTGTTGCTGAGGAACTTGACGATCAATCGATCGAGCGGGGACAGAAGGGAGAATCAGTGAGAGCGAACGAAGCAGTTATCCATGGAAGAGTATCTACGTAGTGTCTCTTGAAGAAAGAGAGAACCTCGCACGTTAGAAAGCCGCTAATTACAAGCCGGGTTTCATTATGTTTCGCAGCATGCACCGACGGCGGTCCGTTCAATCTTTCCCTGTCGCGAAATTATCACTCGAGTAGACGCATGTAATAAACGACCGGCTACGAGAACGGGTCGCGAGGAGATATTCAAATTTCACGGCGCGCCCCGGAAATGAAGCTCGTTGACGAATAGCTTTCGAAGCAATTATCGTGCCTTTGCGTACTCGTCGTTAAGTGGAATCCGTTAGTGAGTGGGCGAGTCGTTGTTTTAGCTGGTAATTGGAAATCTAGTCGGAAGTTTTGGTAAAGATGTAAGGTAGCGCGATAGAGAAATATATAGATGGTAATATTTATGATAAAATTATTATGGAATGTTGTAACCGAGAAACAGATCGACATTCCGCAGCAAACGATTATCCTTTCGTGTACTATTTAGATTTTAGAGAATGAAATCTAATTACGCGGGAATTTATAAAAAGAGCTAAAATGCTCTCTCTATGTAGATAAGAGAGAAAGGAAGAAAGACTAAAGGCCGATTTTTCAATAGCAATTCAAACTTGGATTTCAGTTTAAACTCTGTGCAAATACGTCAAGCACATTGTTAGGACAGAATGCAAACTTAAATTAAAGTTTAAACTACGATGGAAAAATCGTTTAGAAACGTCCGTTACACGTCAGCGGCTTTAATCGCGTTCTTTAAATTGCTGTAGAAAAATTCGAAACGTTCATTACACGCAACCGTTCAACGGCTTTAATCGCGTTACTCACCCATGGCAAGGGGCGAAATTGATCGGACTGCTCCGCGGTCGACTCCGCGTTCTGACTGACGATCAGTAGCAGACGCTGCAGCTCTCGGAGATCGTCCTCCGGGATGGATCTTCGCCGGCGGCCTCTGCGAAGAAGAAAATCAAACAGCGTCAAACAATTGACCCGCGGATCGCGAAGTGTCGATTCGCTAGATTCTAAGCTGGTTGCGCAACTTAACGTCTGTAAGAAAAAGAGCTGTGCGCGATTATTTCACGCTCTCTTGACTTCTCGCGTCAATGATACATAGCGAATTTCGCGTGTCAGCTGTGAATTGCCGTTTTCCCGACATCTGAAGTGCGCGCCTCGGCGTTATCGCGATTTTGCGCGGTTCTACGCGATCAAGTCGCATCGTGCAGCGAGGAAAGGACAGATGAGGTGTCACGATTCACGATCACGCGATTGCTCGCGAATTTGAATAAGAACGGATCTGCAGGCACTGACGAAAGGTTTGGTAATTACCATCAAGCCATAAGTTACCAGATGTTTCGGTGAAATAGTTCCAACAAAACGTGTAGGTGAATCCATATATGAATCAAATTGATCAAATAATTTGATAAATATTAACAAATAACCTTGACAAGCCTGGTAATTGTTGCTAAGGCTTGGTGTTTGTTACTAAAACTTGGTGACTATTACCAATTTATGTGGCACATATTATCAAACAATTTATTAACCTCGGCTTACGACGTGTGGTCTCGAGAGGAGGACCCCAAGAATAATTCTTGTACAGTATCTTTTGAGAAAGATTCTTGTTAAAGTACTAGAGATTGTAAGTAAAACACTTTATTTAAACATCACTTAATGTTTTTTGTCATATTTTTTCTTATCCAATAAAAACAAAATGGGGTCGGTCGAGGGCTCCGGTCGAGGCCGTAATTAACGTTGATAAAAATAACGTCGTAGCCTGAGGATTAAATAAAACTGTATTGTCCAGTAATATTTACCACATCACACGATAAAGGTATGAAATGTAGCCGAATATTTTGGTGATAGGTCAAACTTTGGTAATTATCACGAAATTATTTGGTATTTCATTTACCAAACCGCTCAATTAGTTCAACTCTAAGTGAGGAGTTTGTTTTACTAATTATTTTGTAATTCTTAGCAGACGACTATCGTAACTATCGTCGCATTTGATATCAATTATCAAATGTTGCACTGCAAAGTGCTCAACCAAATGCACTTGCGAACTATTGCAAGAATTCTTTCAGTTCAAAGGTGCTGACGTCGCGCGCGTCTTTTATCAGCCGGCGGGATGAGTGTTTCGCGTAAACTCGTGCGAATCCTGGCAACTGTGGCAATATCTGTCGTACGATTAGTTTATTGAGGCTTAATTGCCACGCGCTTCGATAACGCCGTCATCGCTCATTGTCGTTATCACGATACGTTGGAAGGATGTGCGTCTCGTGCAATAACGGATATTAACGCGCGAAAGGAATATCACTTTGCCCTTCTAGCGCCTGAGGAATCCGTATCAAACTGTACACGGAAAGAATTTTATAGTAACAATTGCTGCAGCACTTTATAATCGAGGAATATCGATTAACATTTTGCAGTAATCGATGACTCTTTCATTTCACATACGTGCTGCTTATTTATTAGTACTTTAGGCCCGCATTAATATTGGTTACTTGAAAATATGAGACAGTTAAATTTAACATATTCAACATATGTGTACATATTCTACACTGAGGGAAAAATTACCTTAAAATCAACAAATATTTCTTTGGGTGCCATTAACATATTTACTTAAATTCTCTTTATTTAAATTAAATATTGTTTACCTGATTTAAGTAAAGAATATTGGATTTAAATAAAGAGAATTTAGATTTAAATGAATATATTAATGGCACCTATAAAAAAAATATTTGTTGATTTCAAGGTAATTTTACCTTCAGTGTATGTTGAAACTTCAAACATTTGTATTCAAAGATCAAAATAACAAAAATACGTCCAGAGTTAGGTATGTGTTCAGACATCAGTACTTTTACCTTAAAATTGAGTAGAATTTATATGGAAAAAAAACTATTACATATATATTCTCTCCGTATAGATATTGGAGATGTAGAATTGTGGATTAGAAATTGAAGTTCATCATTTCCTTCTTATTGATAATGGATAAGAACATGTGCCTCAGTAAGCCAGGAATGAGATTAAAATTCGACGAAACAATTTCGATCTTGTTTCGATCGGTCAAGTTCCAATCTGCAATCCGCGAATTCCAATCTACAACATCTAGTCTGATAAGGGCTCAGACTGCGTTCGCGGTAGTCGCCGCCGTTTATATCTTCGCCGAGGTTTCGTATCATTTCTTCGTGTCTGACCGTTGTCCCAAGAGAAAGAGAGGGGGAGGGGGAGAGGAACAGTTGCGAGAGACCTGTTGATCCACGCGAACTGCGATCTTGGTCTTTTCCGTCTCTCGTACGATTTTTCTCTGAAGTCGACATGAACTCGAGGGCCATCGTTGAAACGAGACTTGATGAAGAGATTGCGACGACCACTTGGCTCGTTTTGCTTCTCGAAGATGTCGCGAACGTGTCGAAGTAATTACAAAATTGTCCGCCACAAATTTCTCCGACACACGGCCGTGTAGCGTCACGACTCCCGACTTTGCGTTTCATTGTGCGTTATGCGTTCCCACATGTTATCCGGGCTATTCTCGAATATTTTTCGATTGCGACACATACGCGCGCGCACGCGCGATTACACACTGTAACATCATTCACGCAACTATCCGCCGTGGGAGCGACCGAAAGAGAGGACTTCGAGTACGCCACAGCGCTTATCTATCATCTAGCGCCATATATATGGCATACAATTACGCGGCGATATTTATACGCTGTGTTAATTACATACGCGACGCCAGCAACACCGTGAATATGTTGTTCATTAATTTATTCGTCGCGAGAGAAGCGATCATCGCGCTCGTGCGGCTCACGGCACTTCCTTTCAGAGGAACACACGCGGGTAAGAACGTCTGAATAGAAATTTATTCGCGCGGCATTTAAGGAGAAAGAAAGATGGAGAGAGAGAGAGAGAGAAACAGGAGAAACCTAGTTAGAGGTTGTATTACCGCGCGCCTTCTTTCCACGAGTCTGTCTGCTCTCGTCATCGTCGCCGTCGTCGAACTTCGCGTTTCTTTCCTCGTTGTCTAAGAAGAAAATTCGATCGCGCGTTTTATTCTTCCCATCCCGGCCGGGACAAATTGCAATTGTGTTATTCCATCAACATTGCGGCCGAACGCTTGCGAATGCAAATGCAACGCGAGTATTTTACCGGCGCCTCATGCGAGAACGTTTTATCTTTTCTTGTCGTTTTCTCTCTCTCTCTCTCTTTCTCTCTTCGCCGCTTTCTTCCTTTTTTCCTTTTCGCTTGAGAATCGATAGAGGTTCGCGTGAGCGTACGTCGACGTCGCATGTAAGACCGGATTGGACTATTATTAATTGCACACAGAAATCTCACCACGTATCGCGTCGGTGTATTAATTGTCGTGACGCGCCTCGCAAATACTTCGCCGAGGGCGCCGCGTGCGCATCAATGGCTCATTACGCCAAGTCGCGCGGCTGCTGTTGTAACCTTTGTTAATTTCGCTGCTTCTCTTTTCATTTGGTTTTTCCACCGTGACCGTTCTGTAGGCCAGGCGAGAGTTGGAAGAAGAAGCAACAAGTGCAACCGCGATCGATAGATTCCCTTCAACAAGGTGGCGGCCCTTCGCGTCTCGACGTGGAGAATATTTCATCATTTTCTACAGAGTGAAGTTCTCTAAGAGCACACACGAGATATATCGTGCGAAAAATTCGAAAAATTCGAATAACAAACGAGCTGTAAGATAAAAGTACCTGAACATGTACCTAATCCTGGACATTCTTATTGTTCTAGTTTTTAAATATAAAGATATTTCAACTTTCAATATAAGATATATATTAAGTATACATTCTATATTGAAAATTTAAATATTCTTATTTAAAGGCCAAAACAATAAGAATGTTTAGGATTAGATACGTGTTCGGGAATTGGCTCTTTTATCTTAAGTCTCGCATGTAAAATTGCGCTTGATTTGACGCTTTATTGTACTTCTACACGAAAGAAAGATTATTTTCTTCGCGAGAGGGAGAGAGAAAGGCTCACGGAATTCCTGAGGAAGAGATACCTCTTATCACGACGATATGCTTCCTTATAGTTACTATTTAATTGCGCTTGTTACGATAATAGTTACGATAAAAGCCGACGGAATCAGCGCCGACTCTTAGAACTAGCGTGTGTTTTCGTGTTCTTTCACGAAGGTCGAGTGAGGAAATGAAGTCGATCGATCGGCGGATCGATCAGGGTTCGAAAATGTAATTGAAAGATCGACAGATAAGTGCTCGGCATGATAACTCCGACACGTTAAGGTAGCGGCGATATTGTTGCAAATCTGAAGACGAACTTACAAGAGAGCCGGGTCGACCTTTCCGTATCCCACAGGGACGACGATGCCCTTCAGTCTCTGCAACGCCAGCAGCGTCTCGAGCTCGGCGAGCCTCTGGTCGGACAGGCGTTTCTGCCGGCTGTAACATAGATCGTCGCGTTGACGAATTAACAGAATTTCTTTCTCATTGCGCGAAAAAAGGTATCAAGTGCATACTACGACCGCTCACTGAGTGCTCAGTGCGGCTCTTGCATATAATTGGTGTATCTTTTTAAATCTAGACGAATGTATCAGTTGAATACAAGAACTCGCTCTGAGTGCTCAGTGAGCGGCTGTTGTATTGAGTGCATGTGTTAACTTGAGCGACAAGATCCCGCGATAGAAAGAGAGAAAGAGAGGATGAAAGAGACTGAAAGACTGAAAGAAACTGAGAGACTGAGAGAAACTGAGAGAGGCAGAGAGATAGAGGCTGAAATAGACTGAGATAGAGAGAGACAGAGAGACAAGATTTTAACACGGATAACGCGCGAATCCTTCCTTTCGCGAATTATTTCCGCATTATCTTGGTTCGCCAGTTGCGTCAATGATCGGCTATGACGCTCTTTCAATCTCGACACACGGAAAGAGAGACACGCACTCAACGCTCTTTAATAGCCGCGCTAATCTCACAAAGCGCGACTAAGCTATTGATATGTTCAACAAGCGAACGTGTATGGGTTGATCTCAGAAGCGAAGTCAACCGTTTCTCATCTTTTGATTGAGCTCGGTCCAACAGTACTGTCAAGCATGGAAAAAGAGAGATTTGATTAGATCAGTCAAGTATCTGATGTAATATGAACGAAGCGTTACTATTTAATCGTAATAAGATTTCAGACTGAAGTCACCGGGATTCTGTTCGAGTTAATGAGATTTCTGATTAACCAGACAAGATTTCTCATTAATCAAAAATCTTGTTGACTTAAACGGTATTCTGGTGACTCTTTTGGGATCATCTCTGACTCACGTTTTACCCAGATATTTTATTAATCCAATATTTTTACTCTCGTGAGTTTCATCAGTCTCGTGTAGTGTCTCCGAAATTTCTGTAATTCAACGTCAGAAGAAAACAGAACGTTGCGATAATTTCTCCCCGATTAGCACTCCAAGAGACGCGATTTTTTTTCGGCAAAAAACACACGCAACGCACACACACACATACACGATCTCGTATTCCTCGGCTGTCATAATTGTACGAAAATTTCTTTGGAAAATATTATCCTACCTAAGAAGCCAGTCAGCAGGCCTGGCGTACGACGCTCCCGGCAGCAGCACGACGAGCAGAACGCACAATATTGCCGCGCTGATCGACAGTTTCATCGTTGTGCGCGCACTCAGGTCGACTCGAGATTACAAGCGAAAGGAAGTAACGACAGCGACAAGTCTGACGCGGCTGGTAGAGCGCGTATAACGATTCAACGACACCGATCGTCACACACTTGTTCGCGTCGCGTTCTCCTAAGGCCGATCAGCTTCTTTCCTCTCTTTCACTGGTTTAATCTTCAGACTGCAGAAATAGAGTCTTCTCACTAATATCTATTGGACTCGATGCTCGATCTCGTGTGATACCCTGATCCTGTTCCTCTCTCCCTCTCTCCTCTTCTCTGTCTTTCCTTCTGTCTCCCTCGTCGCTTTTGTCTCCTGGTGAACTGTAGCGTACTCTCACTCGCATCGAGCATATATACCCCAAGCCGCATTAGCGCCCTCCTGTATCCCCACCTCGCCCTCTTCGGCTAGATCGCCCCCACTCGTTGACGCTGGTCCACCCTCGCTCTCTCTCTTTCTCTCTCTTTCTCTGCGATACTCTCCTACCTGCCCTCTGATTGTTTTCTCTCCTGGATTCGCGAATCGACGACTGTTCACGATTTTTCTCGTCTACGGTCGCGCTTGCAGCGCGACGTATCACGCTTAGACTCGGATGTCGCCCCATGAGTGTGGAGTTTCATAGGACGCGCGTTTGCCGCCGCTCTTTTCCGCTGTTCGATATCGCGAGAATAATTCCCGAGGACGAAGTCTCTGTACCGTCTCTGTGCGATCTCCGTGCAGCTGAGACTCGTTCCATCGACGCAGCTGTTAGCTGCTCGATTTGCTCTGCATTAATTACACGTCGCGCGAGTGCGAAAATTCGGCAAGCGGCGACTGCACAAGAGGAGCGCGCGTTACGAGATCTCGAGCGAGAGATCGCGCCGAAAATTGCGGGCGCGCGTGCGCGCGCATACGAGAAATTGAATTTTCCAACTTGCGCCGCCGCTGCCACGTCGCTTCGTGTTCTTAAGCCGAGTCGGACCCACGATTACCCAACTCGAGGCAATATTCCGAGTACTTGGAAACTAATTACGACGTCGCCGTACTTAGAAACTTTAATTACCTCTCTTTTGTAATGCGCAAATTAGTAATACTATGGTGATATTGCGTACCTATCTCGACGCAGATGCACCCACGTCATTGAACTCGTCACACTGTAAATCCATGTATGTTGGTTTTGAACGCATGAACGTGCGATTTGACCAAAGCTCTTTGCACACGTTTCTTTCCGCCTCAAGTCACGTCACTTGACACATTCAACAGCCAATTTTTTCAATCTCTTGGTAACTTAGCCTGGCTAAGAGATAAATTTGTCTTTGATCCACCATCAAATCAAACAAAAACAGACATGTGATTTAATTATTAGTTAGCTTATACCAAGAAGTTGGAAAAATCAGCCCTAAGCGTGCAAATTATAATTTAATATGTTTAAACACGTGTTAAATGACGCGGCTTGAGACAGTGACAAACATGTAAAGAAAGATTCAGCCGAAATAACGTAACTTGAAGACTTGAAGTGCAGGGGGGAGAGAAGGGAACAAAGGTTTCTTTCAGAACTCTTTTCAAGCGAGCCTCCTTCCTCGTCTCCTCCTCTTGCTCCTCTGTTATTCCCTGCGACACATACGCGTGGATGAGTAACGGTGGATTGATAAAGGAGAAACGGCGCTACCTTGCGAAAACAATCGTGCGAGAAATCGCGATAATGCGTTCAATGACAGCCGCGGCCAGAGTTGTCCCCGACTTTCGTTGTCCGTCGCACTGTCGTTCCTTGGCTTCTGAATTTAGAAACTTCCCCGAGGGACCAATGTTGGCCATCAGTTGAGGAAAATTTTCTTCGACTCGAGTAATCGGCAAATCACAATAACCAAAATTAATCAACCGTCATGCACTGAAAAGAAAATACGGGTATCATAGATTTTAGAATATCAAAATAAGTATTGAATAGAATAGTAAGGCTAAAAAATTTCGAGTAGATTAAATAGAGTCAAAAGAGGTTAATGTAGGTTTCAGAGTATTAAAATAGGTGTTGAGTGGAATAGTGAAGTTGAAATTGAAAGTGGGATGAAAATTTTGATTCGGGATGACTGGCAAATTTTGGTGATTGATTTGCGCGGATTATTTTAGCTGAAAGAAATTTTAACTGATTAATACACATAGTCCGAGATTCACCGATCACGACGAGCTTCCCGTGAACAACAAAATTAATGAGGACGCGCCGATACGCGCTTGTTTGCAAAGCAACATTGTGCTCTCGGCTCGCCCGTGTCTTCCATCTTATCGCGCGCACGTTGTTATTATCAGTATCAATTCGTGTTGTTACGCGAGGCTGTTTTTGCGAAAAGATTGCGGGGATGTAATTGTTGGTTTAGTTCGCCAAAGTGTTTTTCTCTCTCATACGTGCTCCGCGCGACTCAGAAAGAATCCGGAAGTGTGCATTCCACATGATGTGAATGCGATCATCGCAACTGTCCAAAAAGAGGAAGGAAGGAACCATCGGCACGCTTACGCGGAATCGAGCCTGCGTCACTGCATGTGTCCAATTACATTATTAATAACGCGTGATCAATCCGCGCGCTTTCGTCTCATCGCAACGAAATTTACTCCAGCGCGAAGTGGAAAATCACGAATTAGAGGAACATGAGTGAAATGGGCTGATCATGACCTAAAAACTGTAACGTGTATAGTTATATAGATTGTATATATTTTCATTCGAATTTGTGGAAAAATGCTCAAAATTCGTCTTAAAGGGATGAAAATAAATTATTTTTAATAATAATTCTTGTAAAAAGGGTTTCTGGTTACCTGAAACGTCACGTCGCGAATTGAGCGAGGAATTTCGTCGCACCTTGCTCGATCGAAACTCTAATCACGAGCTAACGCGGGGACCCACGTCCTTCATGTCCGTTCTTCCGCGATCCGAAGCTCAAAAATCTCGAAAGTTCGACGAGGATGTTGCACACCGACGTGTGGGTTTTCTCACGCCGATTCGACACACACACTTCACGTACCGTCGCTGACGTAAGGGCAAACTACGCCTGTGGAGGGAAATACCTGGTGAGTACCGGGAAACATGACGGTCGGTTTACGACAGTCAATTCACGATCCTAACACGAGGTCTGTTTGCTGGACGCGCGGTTATCAGCTAACTGCGTGTCTACTTTCGATGACTGTCGGAGCTATTTTCATACTCGCGCGACCCGTTACGCGAGTTACGCATCTTCGCGATTCGATTTCTAACTATCATCGAGATGTTGCACAGTTGGGCAATGACTTGCGCAACATCAAACAAAACGCCACGCGACGTCATACGTCCGCGGCTGGAAAGGAAAGTGTCCGGAAATGTTGGAGGCAGAAGGAGAGAGATAGAGAGAAAAAGAGCTATCGCCGCGGGAGGTCATTCCGTGGGAGTTATCGTTTTTACATAATTCATTTGCAGAATGTAGGAAATAATTTCTGGGATAAATTTAACTGATTTGTTTCTTTCTCAGGCGACGTGATTTTTTACTCTTTTTTTTTACTTTCATCGTTTTCATTCTTATGGTATTTTTACAATTTTTGTTATGTTTTTCCTCTTGCACACACGCGCAGAAAAATGTGTACTGCATTCGAGTGAGTGCATGCTTCATGTATTTCGTAAGTTTATATACTTACAAATCTGTGTCACATAAGAACTCATCGTACACACAGAGAATATTGTAGTAAACATAATTCAATTTTAATATTTCGGGAGTAGACTAGCTCTATGTTGCAAAAATTATAGTAAAACATAGTAAAAATGACCATAAACGTGAGGTAACTCTTATTACATTTATGGTCATTTTTACTATGTTTTATTATTATTTTCATAATAATACCAGTCTATTCCCGAACTACCAAAGTTGTATTGTAATTTATACTACAACATTTTCTCCATATAATCAAATATGTTCAAAACATACCCTGAATCTTTTAGTAAGCATAGCATTTCAATGAAGGATGTTAAATTCAAATAAAAATTCGGTTTACTTACTACACAAAATCGGGTCTGCCTCTTCTTCGACAATGTTTTAGAATATTTTCGCGAAAAGAATAAATTCTTCTTTCAAGTACGTGATAATGAGCTTTTCTGGAATTTGTGATGAGTACATTTTAAGACAATTATCAAAAAGATATGTTTTGTTGAAGGCGACCGTTATAAGAGAGAAGACCGTCAAAAGAAGAGGAGTAAATTGTGTAGTCGCGTTTCTCTCAGCAATAGAATGATGTCTCTCTGTGTGTAACGATACGCGATATAAAAGTAAAATTGTGCTGATATAAGCAGAAGAGAAAGAAAATACGAGATACACGCTGCATCAGTATCGAGTCGCACGAAGCGCGGGATGCGATCTGCGCGATTTGTATCATTCATTTGTAAATACATCTCGCGTTACAAATTCCCGTCATTGGACTGTCTCGAGGTCGATTCACCTCGCGATCGTCTCGAACGATGAAAATGCTGCGCGTTGAGATCGCTCGCGACGATTGCGGAACGCGTCGCTCCGCTTTCCAGATTCAACGGCCAGACGCTATATGCTATACGTTAATCGATTCGTCGCGACGAAATCGCGAATGTCGGTGACGCATGAATTGATATTTATGGCACGTAACGTAACAATTAGCTATTGCGGGCGAGAAGGCAGAGAATCGCGCGGCGCCGCAATTGTACGATTCGTCGCGTAGCGCGGTTAGAACCTGACAACGATGTGTCAGTGATTACTCATAGTCTTATCATTCTACCATCGATCGTAAAGTGGTGCTTGAAGTGGCGACAACTGCAATGTGCAAAAATCCATATAAAAACGTTATTTCCCAGATGTGTGATTTGACGGGTATCCGAACTTCGCGCTGCGGTGATTAATCGCGCTACGTGTGTGTCGACACACACACACATATATATATATATATATATATATATATATATATATATATATAATATATAAAAAAATTTGTAAGGACAAGAAATATGTGTTTTTTGTCAGAAAATCGAAATTCGTCGTAAGAAATGAGGATTTTTGTTTGAAAAAACTAAGTTGACATTAGTAGAACCGTATGAGTTTAACCCAAGATAAAACCAAGGTCTTCATCAAATGTCCCCCTCTGAACTCTTTTATTTGAATAACTTTTATTTGAAACATTTTTATCAAAATGTCATGTTTTCGAGTTATGATGATATAAAAATTAAAATAGGATATCCTGTATATACATACATGTGATATATATAATTTATAATATACACACACAGACGAGCGTTTCAGGTAACCAGAAACCCTTTTTACAAGACAGACAAAAGATATATAAATTTTTGTTTTTTATTGCAAGAAAAGGCCTTTAGTTGCCTGAAACATTCATCTATAAACAATTTAAGCGCGCTTTTTAATATCACATTTTTGACGTTTCTCTCTCCCTTTCTCTGTTCTCTTAATATTTATTTTCTATAGAGCAATCTACGCGACGACACTTGTCAAAGTCATACTTCTTCTGCGCTTACGGTACAGGAAAAATGATTTTCTTCTGATCGCGAGGTTTTATGTAATGTATTTCTTTGCACGTGATTAGAACTATTCTGCGACACAGAAAATATTATAATTAAATTATTATAATACAAAATATAATAATAATTATTATATTTAATATATTATATTGTTTTAATATAATATATTATTATAAATCAACGTGGGAATTTTTAAATACGCGGTTTTCTCGGAGGAAACGCAACATCCGAAAGTTCTCTTCGCCGAAGAGAGGAAAGTAGTGAATCATTCATCTTTTAATAGAGAGATATTGTGATTTCGATAAACAAACAGCTTGAGAAATACCGACCGTCACTATTAAAAATATTCATTCATTGATTTTCCAAGGTAGTAAAAATACGACGTTTTACGATTGAAACTACTGTTTCCTCTTATATCACTTCGTACCTTATTCTACGTCGCTGTTTTTACTTTGCGATCGACGAGTAGTTCATTTTCCCAGAAGTGGCTGACTTCAGAAACAAACAATCCGAGAGTTAGAAGGCGAGAATCAGCCACTTGTTCGAGAAGTAAGCGGCTTATTTTTGTCGACGACAGAAATGGAAAGAAATCGCAGTGACCGCGGCCACCTGTTGCGACGCGCGAGCTTGTACTTTGTTCAAATGCTCTCGTAAATATTCGCGAGAGTAAATAACGCGGCGGCAGCTTTTATCCGATCTGCCCGATCATCTCTCTCTCTCTCTCTCTCTCTCTCTCTCTCTCTCTCTCTCTCTCTCT